AAATGGAGGCTTACTTTTTTTATGTCATCAGTTTATTTTTTATCTTATAATTCTGGTAATTCACTTTTAAAAAATTTATTATTTATTTATTTGGTTGTGCCAGGTCTTAGTTGCCGCTCACAGGCTCCTTAGTTGCGGCAGGCAGGCTCCTTAGTTGCGGCATGCATGTGGGATCTAGTTCCCTGACCAGGGATCGAACCCAGGCCCCCTGCATTGGGAGCGGGAGTCTTAACCACTGTGCCACCAGGCAAGTCCCATCTGGTAATTCACTTTTATTGTATTTTTCAAAAGCCTCAGTCCACTGAAAAGTAAAAAACTGATCCTTCAGTTGAGAATCACTGTTCTATTTCCCTCCTGCCTGCTTGGAGAGTATGTGACTCTATGCATAATTATAAGTTACCCAATAATACACCATTGCATAAGAGCTATTTGATTAGGAATAGTATTCAAACTCATCAACCACAGTACCAATGGGTCAAATTAGCAACAATAACTTGAATTTTACTGGCGCTTCTACCTACCAGGTCTGCTAACACAGGCAGGTCATTGCCAGTTTTCGGGGAGCCCCTGGGGTGGGGGGATCTCTGCTCACCCAGTGGCCCCCTCCCCTGCTCTGCTCCTACCAGACACTGCAGGCTCCTCCTACCGGGGCCTGTGATACAAACAAAACAGCCAAAGCCATGGTGTAGCCTGAAGAAATGGAGATCGCTGTGTTGACCTCTTTTAGGGGAACCCCGGAGTGGACTGCTTGGCCCAATATCATATATGGTTTTCAATGAAACAGCTTTTTATGGTATTACTCAGAGCTGTCTCTCCTAGGAACCCAGACATGCTTTCATAGGCCTAGACTGGCGATGGATTTCAGTAACAGCTACCCCAAGCTGCATTTATTACTCCCCATCCAATGACTAAGTCTTTCTCATAGGGCTTCTCTGTCTAATTCTCTTTTCCAGGAACATGAGTCCTGTTCAAGGAAGCAGTCTCAGCCCCCAGGTCAACAAGTTTCTTTCAGCCCTGCCTCACCAGTTTGCCAGACATGCCGAGACACGCTAGAACCCCAGCATCAGACCCAGCTTAGATTCAGGCTGAGATTCCTGCTATACTACATGTACGATACTTCTGAAAAATTCTCTAAAATATGCAGCCGTAGCAGGTTTTGCACCTTTATTTGAGGTTCCTCATTCTGCTTGTTGACACTGCCATGGTGAGCAGAATCAGTAGCAGTGTAATGACCTCATTCTCTGATTGACTTGACATCTAAAGAAAGTACATGTGAAAAGAGAACGTCTTACTGAAAGATGGAATGATAGGATCTTAAAGCTGGAAAAGAACTAGAAAGCTGATGAACG